AATGCTATCTTGACCAAACAAAATTCGGCCTAATAAGGGTAGGAAAAGGCTGTTCCACTTATCAGCTCCCTGATTGGGTATTAAAAGTAACTGGAACAGCTAAACCATACCAGAGTCATTTTGGATCTGAAGCTTCAACTTCATCATCCAAGCTGACTGACTGACTGATTTTCTACCCCACCAGGACATCACACAAGCGATAAACACCCGATGACACAAAGTGCCACCATGCGGATGAGGATCGCCATGGAGAGGTCCCAGAAACCGCGTTCAGATAATTGGCCATATTTATGGCCTGCCTATATTGCGGCCCCGGGCAAAAGCCAGGGTGGGGCTTTTAATAACACAAAAATTCGTCCTAAAAAGGACGAAACCAGATATGATAAAACCGTTTTATCATCATCCAAGCTAAAATTATTCCGTGGATCTTGTAAGGCAGACTTCAGTAAAGACGAGGACATGATTCTATTGGGTAAGTCATATCAATTGCTATGTAAGTTGTAACTTTTTCCATTTGGACGTTTTCTTTTCAATGTTTTGCTCGCAAATTTAGTCGGCTCTGTGGCTAAGTAGATGCCAACGCTTCGTAATGCCGGGATGCCGGGTTCGATCCCAGCTGCGGGTCATGCGCCTTGCGTTGGTTTCGATAGTGGTATCAAGAAAGCCGACCGTCTAGAAAGTAATGGCAAACTACTGGACGTAAATTTGCGTAGAAACAACGTCCTGTAAAGGATACGCAAAACCTTCCACGCAAATTTAGATGTTTTTAGATATTTTTTGACTTTGTTTTGGATTTTTTTTTCGTCAAAGTAAAGTGGCAACACTGGTCTAGAATCTGGGTTGTGCTATCAGACGTTCATGGAACAGTTGCTGAAGCCTTCAGCTTTTCATGACCGAACATTTTTCAAATAACTCTGATGGCAAAATTAATTTTTGAAAACAGACTTTATGAAGAGTTTTGCTGATGACAAAATTAAAGACTGGGTATGGCATTCCTGGGGAAAAATATAATAATTATAACCAAGGCTTCGTTGTAAGTACCATGATTTTAGAGTCTAAATTACGGTTTTTGTAGTATCTTTAGCTTCTATTAATGTCGACAATTACACGAATGACGATATGCCTTTTCTGTTTTACGTGAATTTAAGTGCGTGAATAGTTGTTGGTTACTGGCGGTCAGTTTCTTACTGCGGGCTAAGATGCATAGGGGCTTCAGGAATTGCTTAAACAAATTAGGTTAATCTGCAAGGGATTATAGTTATAAATAACAGTCGTGTTTAGGCTGTACGGTACTGCGTTATGACTATGGATTCGTCAGTAGATTATGACCAGGAAAGCCACAGTGCAGTACTGCAACAGGACAAAATGTCATCGGCGGCTCACACAGAGGGTGAGTATATCTCTGAGTTTGTAATGTTTACGAGGCATCAGATAGAAAAGCTGGTCATCATAGTTCACCTCTAGGATTGCTGTGCATAGGATTAAATCCTGGTAGGTGAAAATGAAGTAGAGCACCTCACAGAAACTTCATTCAATCGTAAAGCACGGTTATATCAGGGGACCCTACGGTTTAGAAAGTAAACAACAGTCCAGTGGGAGAGTTAATGACACATCAGTTCAGATAACTGGCATAACAAAGTTAATAGGTATTAGTATTAGCGTTCGTTAAGTAAGCATTGTTGAATGTCATGCAAGTAAATGATTTATTACACTTTCATTTTCTTTTTAATCCCAGGGGGATTATGCAGTTATCTTTCTATTTCAGATATACATTTTCTGTTAAGATAGGTATTTGGGGAAAATGGAAGGGGGGGGGGGGGGGGGTGCTTGCATTTCAAACTCAGATGTATTGCCCTGGCTTTGTCAAATTCATGTTTTTTTTTTTTTTAGTTAGAGTGCCCCAGTCTATCCCTGTCTGTCTTTCAATTTGTTGTCTTCCTTTAAAAAAAAAAAAAAAAAGAGTGCCCCAGTCTATCCCTGTCTGTCTTTCAATTTGTTGTCTTCCTTTAAAAAAAAAAAAAAACTGGCTTTATACCCTTACCCTTAGTTTTAATCGAGGTCAGTGCAGTCAGGTCACTTATACTTGCTCTGTTATTGTGCCAGTGAAAATCAGATGAAATGTCCCTCACTGTCCCGTTTGAAAAACTGATAAGAGTAACCTATACAAATAAACATACAAATGAATGAACGAACAAACATACTTTATTTTCAAAGAGTCACAAATTAGGCACGCAGGCACATCTTACAATCGGCCCTTCCAAACACTCAACTTTCAGTTGTATTTTATCAGTACAGCAAGTTATGTTCATATAACAGTTTGCATAATGTGAATATCAACACTGCCTGTATTCTTCTGTGATTGTCCACTGGTCAACATCATTCAGGTGGAAGAAACTGAATCACTACTCTTTGAGCCTCTGTAGACAGTTTTTGGATCAACTTGACCATTTTCTCAATGGTCAGAAACAGAGCCTGTGCATCATGGGACAAAAAGCATGTTCACTTTCTCATTATGACATGACTATGACATGACTATGACATGATCATGATCAACCCATTCAATTACATTCAGTGTAGCACAGACTGGTTTAGGATAAACAGTCCTTTTATTTTGTTGAATTATATGTTTTCTCTAAAATGTCTATAATTCATTATTAAGTTTTGTAGCAGGTGGTCTGGTCACACACATACCTGAACATTTCATTATAAATTTGTCTGTTTTACTGTGTCGTTCTACTTTTTTTTTAAATGTATCTTTGCATTGATGTACATTGGTGACAAAAGGATAGTGAATGCAACTTCATAATTCTGGCATCCCCGGGTTCAGAGTCAGATGTTGGTGATTTGGTAGCAGCCCACTTCTGCAATTGATGTTGACAGTGGTGTGCGCATCAAACAGTTCAGAAAAGCATTGCCAGATTGGTTGACATTATCTTGCCTGTTAAAACCACAGCCAGCCAACAGATGCTGGGGTTTGTTTACTGCTTCCTGTAGAGGACATGGAGCCACAATAATTGTCTGTATAGTAATCCTTAAGCCCAATGCTTTTCTCTATTAGCTGTTTGTTTTTCTCTAATGCCTTATTTTTACCTTTTTCTTTTTTAATCCTTTTAATTTGACTTTGACTAAAAGAAAGGATCAGCTTGTTTTGTCACATCAAAATTCAACTGTATCGGATCTCCAGTATATTCTGTCTGTTGACTTGTTGGTGGTGTACCGCCATCTTCCCTGTCCATCTTTCAGTCTTAAACTGCTTTATTATTTTTTTTTGCTTGGGAGCCGACATGGTGTAACAGCTAGATGCTTGCGTGCAGTTTCAAAGGTCGTAGGTTCAAATCTGAAGCAAGCCAGACTGCTTTAAAAAAATGACCATGGCTGCCAATATCACCCAGCCCTAAAGGGTTACTAGGTAAATTCATGGGAAGTAAAGGTGGCTGGCGTGATGTTGACATCACCCACTTAGTGCTGCTTGGCCTATAAAATATAGGTCTACTACCACAGTATACCCAGTTGAAGGCATGGAACAGGGTCCTTTTTATATATTTTGATTCTTTCGAAGTTGGAGTGTGTCTCCCTGAGGGGCAAGAAACCAACATTCTGCATATAAAGAAGCCAGGTCCATAAAATAGATGTGCAATGAAAACTCAAGTTCTGTAACAAGATTAAAGTCAATAATTGAATGAACAATCAGAATTAGTTAGTTAGTTAGTTAGTTAGTTAGTTAGTTAGTTGGGTTATCCTCATTGCACTCCAGACATGTCCATAGGTGCTCAGATCCTCCCCTCAGTATGAACCCCAACGTCCGATGGCTAATAGTACCAGTTCTATGTTGATTAACAAGTCTTCTGGCGTGTCTGGTGTGCGTCTCGTTTTTTGCTGTGCCGATCTTAATTCCCAAGTCTGCCATTCTGGCGAGTGAACAATCAGAACTTTCCTTCAAAGTTTACAACAGGTTAACCCAAAGAAGTTTTCTTTTGCTTTTTTTCAATTCACTTCAGCTTTGAACATATTTTTCAGCAGTGTGTTATATCTTGCTTGCTCTCCTCCGAATAATGGTCCCAAATGATCTACGCAGAAATTGAACCCAAACAGAGCCTCATTACGTCCTGCCCTACAAACATTTAAAAGGTATAGCTTGGAAAAAATAAGGAACGAAAAGTGTAAGGAAAAGGGCAAAGTCTACTACTTACCGAAAATTAAATCCTTTATATGTGAAAATTGTGGCACAGAAGTTGCAAATAGTGCGTGAATATCTGTTCTTTCTCGCTGTCCGCCATTGCAACTCAGCACGGCTTGTCCGCAATTCTCGTTCCGGGCAAGACATGATCAGTAATGCGTGGTTTAATGTTTAATAACTTCTGGAATATCCACCTAACAGCCCCAGCTTAGCCCCTTGTGATTTCCACCTTTCTGATCCACTGAAAACCTAATTTGGTGGGAGACATTTTGTGAATGACGCAGAAGTTGAATGTGAAGTTAAAATAGGGTTTAGAAAACAGAGCATGCGGTTTTTTGCAGCAGGTTTGAGAGGACAGATAAAATGATGAGACAAGTGCATCAGTGTTGATGGAAATTACATTGAAAAATATAGGGACAGTGTAAGTGTAAAAATAAAGTCTTTGTTATCCTCCTTTTTTTTTAAAACAACCATTTGCGACTTACTTATTGACTTCCCCTCATATTTAAGGCTGTTTTGATTTGGGAGCCAAGGGCCATTTAAAAAAAAAACGACTGGATGCTGACCCTGGGTCAGAGGTCAAAATCTAGCCGCTACACCATGGCAGCTGCATGAAAAATATAGCGGAAAGACTAACTTAAAAAAAAAAAAAATTTGTGTGTGTGACTGACGCCAACATTTATAAAATCTCTCAGAGATGCCAATGTAATTTTGTTGTATTTTTCTGTTTGAAATAGACAGTGAGTGTTTTCAGTATGTAATTGCTGTAATTAAATTTCTCATCAGAAGGAGAAACACTATCTGAAGATCATCGCATCTCTAG